TAACCTGTAATGTATGTTAGATTTGATATACGAGCTTACAAGCTTCTTGGATTATCCTTATTTCCCCTCCCAATTTTCTTAGCAATTTGGTATAGGTTTATAACGTGTTGAGCTTGATTGTCTTTCCTTTGCTAAACTATCTAATGAATTTTTGGGGAGCTAAATTGGGCTCTGGCCTCGGGATATATAGATTTAACCTTCTTTTGTGTCATTAATCTAGTTTTGTCTTGAAGATCCTATTAATTATTTTTATTGGAGTAACTGCAAAGAATGCTGAGATAGTCCTCCATAATGTTCATAAGATGCACTATATGTGCTTTGATATTAATTTTGTAAAATTGATAACTGTGTCGTGTACAACCATGCTGATGTAAAATACACCTAAGCTCAATAAATTCGTAGTGAGCTAACGCAAACTTAGCAGTCAAACTGATCTACTCATGATATTCCTAATGCGATCCTGAGATTAAGTTCTGCCGAGGGAATTGTTTGATTAGAAAAGAAAGCATATTCTTACTATTGAGAAATTGAGCATAGAAATATGTGGATAGATGGTGATTTTTTTTTCTTTTTCTTTTCCTTTTTCTTATTTTTTTTTAACAAAAAAATTATTTACAAATCACATTCCGAAGTTAACGGGTTGTTACAGTTTGGTTAGACCAGGATTTGATTACTTCCTCAACTTGTTAATTACACTTCTGACCAACTTTATATAGACTCAAGTATATGCCTTGTGTGATGTGCAATCAATCATGTAGCATTGGTCAATTTTTCAAACATTTTAAAGACAATAATTAATTTCATTCAAGTTGTTAACAAAGTACTCATTTTAAGGATTAGTGGCTTACACATAAACAGTAACCACAAACGTTCTATATTAAAGTAATCCTAAACAAGAATAACAGTTTTTATGGGAGCAGCTTCCCTTAAAACACTATCCCTTTATAGTCTCTCAAGATTCTATTTTGTGGGCTCTATGACATTCGGAATGATAATTTAAATCGTTCATTTTGTATGTCTCAAAAATAAGAATATATATGTAAAAATTAACTTGTTTAGACATCAATAGACAAACTAATAATTGTATTTTGTTTTATATTGATGTCCGATCAAATTAATTTTTTGTATATATATTCTTTTTTACTAGCCTTACTAGTTGAACAGTTCGAATCACTGTTGTGGATTTCGTGAAGCGACAAAATGGAGTCTTAAAAAAGTACAGAAAAAATGAAATCTTAAAAGGAGTTGTTCCAATTTTTATGGCCCAAAATTATAATGTAAGATTTGGTATCGACTAATTATAGATACATAAACATAGTTTGTGATTCCAAATTTGTTACGTTCCTATCTCCTCCCTATCCTAATAAATATGAAATTTTATGTGAATTTATATTAAAATGGAGATTTTAATTTTCGTACATAAAATTTCAAACACATCATGAAAAATTAAAATCAATGATTTATAATTATTAAGTGTTTAAAGTTTTTAATTTTTTTTCAATATTTATAACCATATTATTAGATTTTGAAATGAATATCTCAAATGTTAACATTTACTGACACATAAGTATATGTGACGAATCGGTAAAATTATTTGATTATTCAAGAGCGTCATATAATAATACCTTTCACCAATCATTAATTATTGGGTAAATTATAAATACACTCTCTGAGATTTACTTAAAATACAGATTATCTCCTGTAGTTTGAAAAATTACAAATACTCTCTTATTATAATTTTTTATTTAACAGAATTAACTAAAAAAATAAAATTCATAATTGTTCTCCTATATAATAATAAAATTACCAAATTATTAATTAAAATATATTTTTAACATAATTAAAAAATATTAATTGACTTGATAATTTATTAATAAAAATAGCAATTTGTTATGAAACTAGAAACCTCAGATGGTAGAATGTAATTTTCAAAAATCATAAGGAGTAATTCATATTTTAATTAAATTTCAAAAAATATATTTATAATTTACCCTTAATTATTATGTTCTTTATTATTCTCTTAATTTAATATAAAATCATAATTGAGAATTTACATTATAAAATCTTGATGTGTTTAACATTCTTCCTCCCATATTTGTTAGCCAGAGAGATCGAGTAGCTGCAACTGCCAGCCTGACATGGTTGGCATGAATGATTAGTCTCACCTACTTTTGACACGTGTCACTCTACCTGGAGATCTAGAATGAATCTGTGGCCGTACACTTCCGCATGAATCTTTAGGATGGGTGTTTGTTGTTGTTGTTGTTGTTGTTTTAAAAAAAATTTAGATCTTATTCCATGTGAGAAATTGAAAATTTAATTTTTAAAATTTTAATTTTTTTTTTACTTTTTAAATTCATCTACATAAGATGAATGGAAAAAAATAAAAAATTTTAACATAATTTTAAAAACAACAATGATTCATCCCACTAAAAACATCACCACTAATAGCACTAATGCATTAAAAAAGTAAAAAAAAAAAAAATACAACTCCAAGACCAAAACATCACATCATTAATGGCGGAACCCACTGCCACCTAATTAGTGGGAGCACTAATTAGTGCTCCCAAGTATTTTTCTTTTAAAAAACAATCATCAAAGATTAAAAAAAAAATCAAAAAAATTTAACTTTATTTAGAAGTTCTCAAATAGCTGCATCTGAACCGTTTAATGAATGATTTGTTATTGATTGAGCTGAGAATATCTCTAATAGAATGATTAGAGGTGCATTTGGCAATTGATTTTTTTAGTTAAAAAATCAAACAGTCACTAAAAACTTAAAAAGTCATATAAAAAAGTCAAAATTCTTTATCATTTTATCCACATTTAACATTTTTTTTATAAAAAATTAAAAAGTCATTTCCAAATACTTTTCACCTCATATTTTAGTCAAAAAATTCTTTCTCAAATCAACCATACATTTGTGTGTAAAATATTTATTAGTTTTGAAAATGAGTATGTACTCTAATAGTATGGTTGTAGAGTATGTTATAATAAGAAGACCCAACACAATTAGCAAGGGAAAAGAACAACAAAAATACATTGGAGATAGAAAACCAAAGTGCGTTAATCTACTGCCACGAATTCTAATAGTTAATTCAAATGATGCTCTTAGAATGAGGGGCATAATCATCAACACACACCAGCTTAAATTGACCTAAACAAATTTATGCGATCAAGTGAGTGGGTTGCGTGATAAAAATTAATGGTCAATTGTCATATTGGTTAAAATTTGTTAATCTGCTTACAAAATAATTCAATCTGTCTATCTATACTTTCCACGCGCACACCAGTATATATATATAAGGCTTTAATATAAGAATTTTCCAATTCTTAGGATTGAAGTGATATATCTCCATCTCTCAAATCTCAAAGGTTATGTTTGATTCACAAGATTAATAGTGAAGTATTAATAATCCTATTAAATTAGTGTGGTATTCATTATCCAATTGGATTAATATTCATTGGATTAATAATCCCACCTCTACCCCATTACTAATAATCCTACAAATTTGTTGGATTAATTATCCATTGGATTAATAATCCTAAACCAAAATGTTAAAACAAACATAGGATAATTGGGCCACGGATTAATAATCCCAATCCCATATTCTAATCCACCCAATCAAACATGCCATAAAAGTATTATTTTACTTTTATATCAAACATGACCAATGTGTAAAAGAACATGTGTAAGTCATGTAGAATGAGATGTTGACAACAGGAAAGCATTATAATGTTTCTAATTATAAGGCCTCATTCTTTTTTCCTTTTTCAAGTCAATACTTTTATAACACATTAATTTCCTGATAATTAATCTTAATCTAGTCATGTACTTTGCCCTTTTGATATTTTACAGAAGCAAGAATACAACAAACACATAATTTGTACAAAATTTCTACACCAAGGGTATGGGCACAGAATTTTCCACAAACTTATTTATAGAATGTTGTGTTATAAATTTGTATTTACATTATTTTTCTTTTAGAAATTTCAGTTCTTTTTGTTTCTTTGTCTCTATATCTATCTCTCTTCTTTTATGCTGTGTTTGGTTGGGGGATTTGGAGAGGAATTTGGAAAGGGAAAAGAAAAAAGAGAAAAGGTGTGTGAAACTATGTGAAATATAGGTATATTTTTTTCACATTTCACCTACCTTTTCCATTTCTCTTTCCAAATCCCTCTTCAAATCTCTCAACCAAACACAACATTAGTAGATGGTGAAAATGATGTGGCAAGCCGACTTGAAGCCAACTAGAAGTGATATTTTTAAGAAGCTAGATGTGGAATTGGAGCCATTGGGGTTGGTGGCCCACTGGAGAATGCATTTGCCACCACCAGCCCGAGTCAAGTTCGACTCTTAGGGGGGCGCAAAAAATCCTAACTTTGTCAGGGGCTCTCTTTGAGACCTCGCGCTGTACTCCGGTCGAAACTTGTCCGTGACCGGGGCGGTTGATGAGCTCCACTGGTACCTCAGTGATGGGTCCCCCACTTGGTGGAGGTTAATTCTTGGCTGGCAATCGGCTATCCCGGGGTCAGGGCCCGCAGGGGCTGTGATGACATCACAGAGCCCTTTTTTTCCTGGTTCAAAAAAATAGATGTGGAGTTGGATGTCCAACATTTTCCCCAATTTTACCAGATATCTTCCCCCTTTTCCTCCTAGTTTGGTTTTGAGAATCCTCTTTTTAGGTGGGCTTGGACTATGATTCCAAAAGTCCTAACAAAAAAATATGTATATATATATAATATACTTTGTATTTAATGAAATGTTAAACAAATTAATGCAGAACATAGGGGAATCCATGGCTACTTGGATGTTATTGAGCCCATCTTAATAATAATTATTGTATGTTCATGGAGATATACATGAGATCAAAAACGTTTGATTTTTTAGACTGTTGAGAAATTGTGTTAAAAGGCATGAGTTGTTGATTATCACAAAGTTTGATCATGTGTAGAAGCAATTTAAATAGGCAGGACGTCATTAATTCAATGCTCTTCTA